TAATTCTGACTATCTGATTATTCGTGATTCTGTCTGAAACAGACGATGTAACCGGATCTTCAGCTTGAAGAGTAACTTCAGACTAAGAGTGGAACCAGTTTGAGTTTGTCAGCCAACTATAGAAAAAATTTTGAAAAAAAACAACAGAACAAATGCAATTAAGTTTTTCATCAGTTTAATTTGCCATGAGCAACATTCATTGATTAATGTGAGTACAGAAAGGTAAACAACTCTTTTTAAATGAAATTTTTGTCGATTAGTATCAAAAAACGTGACATATATTAATCAATTGATCTGGTAGAATAATGAACTATTGTTTGGCACAATTCTAAAAGTCAAAAGATGATTTAGAAACAAATCTAACCTGTATTTATTTTTTATACTAAAGCTTAACAAATAACAACAAAATGTGTAATAAACACATGAATGGAAAAAATATTCTACCATATATCAATCTTTTTTTTTCAATAGAAAGTTTTTTAATATGTGTTGTGATTGATAAGAGTGCATACTTATTTCTTTTCAGCAGATAGTATTGCAAATACCACACAAGAAAGAAAAAACGTTGCAAATACAGAAAGCCGATAAAGAAAGAATCGATCCTAAAATTGAATAGAAAAAATGTAAAGAAAAGTGTTCTTCTCAAAGGTATGTTTATATTTTCAAAAAAGTATATTTCAGTGATTATCAAAACCTCTATCAGCGCATCGTTATCAATAGGGATCTACATGTCGAAAATTATGAGTAATTTCGTAAGTCTCGAAGAATTTATTTTATAAGAACGAGTTTCTTTTCTCTTATTAAACTTTAGTGATATCTTTCTCTGAAATAACTTTGAGATTGGTTTCTCATCTATTGAAAAATTTTTATTCTTTTTGATATATAGTTTTGTGGATTTTGTAAGAATTTATAGTAATTTCAATATATTTCGAAAATATCCTTTCTGTTTAGTAGTAGTGTTCTGTAATTTGATGATCTATAAGAAAAATTTGAATACTGTTGATAAATACATACTTCGGTTAATGGTTTTCGATCGGTATTAATGAATAATCTATATCCTAATTCAACGGTAATGACGAACCATATTAATGATATGATACTAATGATAATAAATTCGATGATAGTTTTCTTTTGCCATCTTTTGTATGAGTTTCTTCCTGAAAAATTTCAGTTAAACATTACAAATTATTAGAGATAAAATGACATAGAATTATTCTACTCACTCTTTTTCTTTTGCCATCTTTTGTATGAATTTTTTCCTGGAAATTTTCAGATAAATATTACTAATTATTAGAGATGAACTAATATACATTCAATTGTTCTACTCGCCTTCAATATATAAGATATCTACACAGGCACGAAAAATATATGCAGTAGCAAGCGTAAGCATCCAAGCATTCATTATGACTACGGTAAACATAATGCAGGAACTAATGACAAGGATTACGACACAAAGCACGCGTTGAGATGGATAAAGAAAAGTCTAAACTTGAGAAATTATGCTGTTGATTTTTATTATGCTCCATACTTACATCACGAGATATAGTATACGGATGTAAAATGCACATTCTTATCAATTCACAAAGGACAATATTAATAATAATAACGATAAAAACGCATCTCAAAAGTTCAATTATGTCATTCCATTTCGGTCTTGAATAAAACTTTCGAATAAGCCAGTCCTCCTAAAACACAGACAGCAACAGTATAACAGCTATTATGTTGAAATTTAATGTTCTTTTTCATTTTACTAAATTGTTCAGTTTCTTCTAGAGATATGTAATATATTTCATTCTTATGTTTACAAACCTGTTTGTTTGATTGAGTTTCTTGTTGATCAAAATGAGACGTTTTCTTTTGATTCGCTTTTGTTGTCGCACCACAAGTCATCTTTGAAGTTGTTGCAGTAGTTGTGTGCATCGTGTCCTAAGTAATATGTGGCAAGATGGATAATATCTGAACGTATATATATATATACGTGAATAACAATCGGACAAAAGATGGATGACCGTTAGACATATCGAACAATCGTTTTCTCTTAACGAAAGATTTGAAAGAAAATACAATGCATATATGTTGACCCTGGTGGACAATAAACCGTATTAGCATCAATCGCATAGCCTAGTCCGATTGTCTTTTTACAATTGTTTTACTTTCTCTCGTCCGTCATATGATATTGTAGTCGATCTTTAGTATTCATTTGTTAAAATTTTTTTAACAAGTATTTTTTCTCAATCGAATAAATCTTTATCGCAACACATATTGTTTGAAGAGAATTCTTATGGAGAGATCATATCAAGATTATTTCATTTTTTATGGTATTTTTGAACAATATTGAATGAAATATGCTTGATCATTAATGCTAAATGTATTATTCTAATGTGATAGTTAACAAATTATAATCCAAAACAATGCATGATTCTGTAATATTCTTAAATCTGTTTGTCCAAACGTAACGCTGTAACGTGTTTGACACACTTTTTTCAATTATCTTGGAAACTATGAGAGCTAGAAAGTTTGTTCGAACGTTATTCGACGCACCTTATCGTGCTCCATTTAGACTACAAAAACGACGTTTCTTGGTTAAAGTCTCGAGGTTCTAAAAATGTTTTCCTACCGCAGTAAAGTGTATTTCTGCTGTAGGTTAGAAAGATACTCACGAGGGAACTTTTTGCAAGTACCTGATTGCTTTTGAGTTTGGACTCCGTGCATAATATAGATTCCATTGAGATATGAAAAATTCCAAAAGGTTAAATGCCTTTGGATCTTCTGTTCAGAATTAGAGGCATTTTACTGCAATTTCGGTCTATGACATGGTATATATTGAAAAATCGAATTGTGGTATTTCCAGAGTTGAGATTATGTCCACAAAGAGATCCATTTGTGAGTAAAATATCTTGAAAATTTTAGCTCAAAAAATGCTTCTTTCCTGAAGTATTAAAGTTCTCAAAAACAGAAAATTCTCGCAGCTTCCTTGGGATATAAGTGATTTTTAAAACTTTGATATCTCACGAAGGAAACGTTTCTTTTAGCAGAAATTTTCAAGACATTTTACTCGCAAATAGATCTATTTGTGGACATAATCTCAACTTGAAATACTGCATTTCGATTTCTTGCTAGATACCATGCAATAGGCTAAAATTGCAGTAAAATGTCTCTAATTCTGGACACAACAACTAAGAGCATTTATTCTTTTGGCATTTTCCATACTTCCATGAGGTGTACATTATGCACAGAGCCCAAATTCGAGAGTAATTGGGCAGTTCGAAACATTTCTGTAGCGAAAAATGAAGGATAGATTGTTTCGTTACTACTACAGTATTTGTTTTATTGTTGATCAACATTGAGGAACTGGAGGAGTAGCGTTACCGCTATCCTCGGCGTACAATGTTTACTACACTATTCCATCAGATCAGTTCTGTCCATTTCATACAGAACATGAGCTTATATACGAGAGAAGAAACAGGGAGAAGAGAAATGTGAGAATAGAGAAAAGGATGACTAGGAGACAGAGTGAGTAGGCAACTACTATCGGTCATGAGGTCAGAACATCTAGCCACATAGTGACCGGATGTTTTCATATCAATGAATCGATAGAAGACGCACATAGGTCGTGACCTTATTATCGGCACAATTCCCTCAATATGTACGAGTTACTATGGCTAAAGTTAATAATACACAGAGACATCGGAAATTAAACAAAAATTAGAGATTTTTATAGAGGCTTGTTGTTAGGGCTACCTCTCATTTGCGAACATTAAGAAGATAAATTTTAAGTAAATTAAAATTTTCAAAATTTTAGTTGGTTTAAATTTGATGCTTATATTATTTTTTTATAAAACGATTAAAATTTATATTCAACTTTTCAAAATTCGGTTACTGCGACCGAATATTGAAAGTGAATTGTTTTAAAAGATTTTTATAAAAATTAAATTTTTTCTACTAAACATGTTGCAATTTGTAGAGGATGCAAGTTTCTGATAGTAGAGAATTTTTGGTATTTACTGCAATTTATAGAGGACGTAAGTTTTTCATCGGAGAAGGTTTTTAAATTTAGTACTATTGTTGCAATTTATAGAGGACGTTAGTTTTTAGTTGAACTAAAATTTTCCTTTGAATCTAGCTTCGAAGGATTTCAATAGAAGTCAAAAATAGAATATACTAGCTGGTTTTTTTCCTTTTGTTATTGAGGAACTAATACTTATAGTGCACGAGCAAGGATCGTCGATTTGGGCTAAACTAACAACGACTTCAGTTAAAGACAAAACAAGTTTTTAAGGAGACTATATCGTAGCTTGTTGTGATAATTTGATATTTGTTCCAACTGTGGTATTGATGCGTGTGGGTATGGGTGTGGATGTGAGTCTCGGGTGTGGATATTAATCTTGTAATCACTCATATCAACACCCACACCCATAACTGTTTCTCAATGGTGTTTAGACGCGTTGGATGTTTCATTTTAGCAATGTCCAAACGTGTTCCACTGATAGCGTTTCAAACGCAGCTACAACGCGTTCAAAAACACGTTTAGATGCGAAAGATTTTCATATGGATGTGTTGTCTCTATGCTTTACCCATACCCACTCACTTACTCACACTCAAACCAATCACGGTATTCTATATAGTGGCCACATTATTACGATAGATCGATTTACGAGATGCTTTTAATCTTAATTCATAATCAAATATCCTGAGCATGCCTTTTGAACAGTGAGCAGGAGTTCTCTTCGGCCTAACTAAGCCAAGATTTCTGTCAGTTACGTTAGTTAAGATGGAGGCTTCGTTCGATCCTTGTGGACATTTACGTGCCAAAAAATAATGCTCAACTTGTCACTTGAAAAAAGTTTGAGAGCAAATCAGCAAAACCTCGAGGAAGAAGTTCTGTAAGGAAAACAATTGTGAACCACTACGTGGTTTGATCGTTTTTCTTTGACATTGATGAAAGATGTGCATCCATATGCGAAACTGAATGGGCTAAAGCTTGACAATTCGTTTGTGAACTAATCGATTGAAATTGGATTGAATGGACGCCACTTGGTGACATCAATTCGAAGAAAATTCGAGCTATGAAATTCAATGCCAATGAACTCAAACAAACACATATCTGCGGCGGCTGTCTAACACTTTCAGTCTCTTGTACGCTCGAATAGTTATCAAATCAATTCTATTCGACTTTGTTCTTTCATCAACCTTGCTGTTACTTTATTTTTGACGCACATCAAAATTTTAACAAAGCATAGAGCACATACTGCTAAAAAGTTTCTATTTTGAAAGTCAAGAAACAATTTTTTCTGTTATTCTTGGTATGTTATCATAACACGATAGGGGCGTAATCCCAAGGACGCTGAAGTATTTTGATTTGGTGAAACGATGTACATGTCACCTTCCCTACAGTACCAACTATATTGGATTGACGGTGTTAAAACAGCGAAATAAGCACTCGGCACCCAAGAACCCAATTGGGTTTTGACTAGCACATTGATAGACCAGATCTTTGATTCGTCTAAGCCATGTGGAAATCTTGCTAAAGTTGATGCACTCGCTCCTAAATAACCTGCGTATAGTTTTGTTTGTAATTGAATTGTTTTTGATGACAATGTTTCCAAGCTTTTTGAGCTAATGCTTAGAGCAATACTCACATTGAAACCTACAATGGATATAAAATATGAAAACATTATGCTATTAACTAATCATGATTAGATTGAAAACATGGATTCAATCTGGTAGTAGTACCTCGATTTTCATCTACCTTGCATAAGAAACAGAAAAAAAACAATCGTTAAAATGAATCCTTTTACTTACAAACTAATCCAATGAAAGCAATGTAAACCGAAGCAAACATCATCATTTACGACCAAATGTTTTCGCTCTTTTTTTACTTGTAAAAAGAAAATATTCTTGGTTTATATACAGAGATATCAGTTTATAAATATCCATCATATTCTATCGGAGCTTATCAATAGTTTCCTTTGTTAAGTCAATATTAGTAATGTCGTAGTAGTATTAGTATTAAAATAATGCTAACCCTTGTGAATTAGCATTACTGATTAAGCCTAATGCTTAAGTATTATTGCCATTAGGATTAAGTAATGCTTAAGTATTATTGCCATTAGGATTAAGTAATGCTTAGGTGTTAACAATGATTTAACATTATTTTTAATTTCAACGCATATATTTCGTGTCACTTCTAGACTGCTACCTTGGCATACTATCCCTAACTTTTCAAGGACTACTTGGGGATACTATGTGTAACTTTTCATGGATTTTCGGAGGATATTCTTTGTAACTTTTCAAAGATTATCAGAAGTTGCTCTTTGTAACTTTTGAATGGCTCTCTGGGGATACCCTCCGTAATTTTTCAGCTCTTATATTCACATTATAGCAGTATTCTTCGTGAGAACCACTCAAATATAATGAGAGTATTTTATAATAAACTAATGTTTCTAGAATAACGTGTTCGCTAATCTGGATTATGAAAAGTTTCGAGCACGTTATTTGAAATATTTTTTATTGGTGTTTTAATGTAAAATATGTATGCGTTCTCAAGTATGCAGGAAAGCGTATAAGTGTATAGGATGGACGTACTGCAAAGTTAAAGTAGGTGTTACTTTTATGACAATCAGACGTCGCTAGTTCCAGTTTTACACTTTGACTAGGAACACTGTATTATGTTTTGATTGGATGAAGTCACATAGGACAAATGCAAAGTATTCACAAGATGTCAAAATCTGTATAAAAAAAAACTTAGAGAAAAGCAACTAACGATTCTTCACTGTTCTAGTTATCAGTCTCACTAGTTTGATTTAAAGGAATTCTTTGTATACAGTTGACTGTAGAAATATATTCTCGAGACTCATCGCATATTACATATGGATTGTAAGATCTCATGAACTCTAGTGTGGCAGACTGTACTGACTGACTTTCAGCAAAGTTTACGTATTGTTGCTCTAACGAGACCATACCTTCATTTGTATGCGATTCAAATCGTCGCTCTATGAATAAAGAAGTATGAACCGTCCTCTTTCATTATTTTCCACTGTTGTGAAAATTTATTTTCATTAAATGTGACGCGAACCAAATTGAACATTTTCTCATCACTCTAGATGTTCTTTCTTACAACTAAGTAGCTTTATGATAAATATATCGTATTCTGAACCAGAATCAAACACACTCATCATATGCATGTGTATTCATGATTTACAGAAATGTCTGGTTTTTTTATTTGAATGTTTACGTTGAAACGACAAAGAATTACTTACTATGTACCAAAATCTAAGTTTTCAGTATAAATCTAGAAATGAACCGAAAGCTTCGTACAAGATACTTTCCATGTAACTATGAAACGCATTTTAAACGCAACTAGACGCGTCTATATTGCAAATATTCGGCGTTTCAACGCGTTTTATATGAAAGCATGGCGAAAACGCGCCTAAAAGTACCAATCACTGTGTTTCACAAACGTCTTTAGAGAAAATTCGTGGTTTCGGAGTATATTTTTAGGCTAAACGCATACAAAAGTATTTAACCTTTTATTACGAAACACTTTGGGACGCACTCATATCATTCTATGCCTCTGATCACGTTTAATATTGGAAAGAAGCTATGTCCCTCCCACCAACAGTATTTTATTGACAGAGTCGATAAAACGCATTTCAGTAGATGCTTCTGTCAATCCGTTGAATTTGTGGAAACGCGTTTGAATGCATTGCTTTCTGAAACGCAGTTCAACATACAGTTATATAGTTTAGTTAGTGAGAATAAATACTTTAAAAAGGAAGGTGTGTCTGTGCGAAAATGCATCCATAAGTCCATCGTGCTACATTCTCGTTGCAATGGTATTGTGATTGAAAGAAATTCTATTATGTAATTATACTAGATTTAGAAGGCACTCGCTGAAAGAAAAAAATTGACTTTTCTAATTCATTTGGACAAACATATTAACTTTCTATTAACTCATTTGAACAAAAATAAGAAGCTGAAGCATATTTCTATAAATGATTCTTTATGATACATATTTTAAGCAGAATAATTTTTCACAAATATCTCTTTAAGTTTTCAATCAATAATGACTATCTTGTTTTTGCTATTTCTGTGCGTAGCGATTCAGAATCATACAACACTGATCTAAGTTTATAATAAGAATCTGATTAGCAGGTACTATACGAAAATCTATCTATTTTTATTGAAATTAGAATAACTCAATGATATTCTTTTTATTGCTCATGTATTCATTCTTAAACTTCTAAAGCATCCCTGAATGTCAACAAGCTATGCAACTTGACGCGTTTGAATGCATAAAAAATGCAACATTGTCGTAGCTCTGAACGCGTTTGGAACGAATAAACGCAACTTTCTACATTTCAGTTTTACAGCATCCTAACTGGTTTATATCAAAAGATGCCGTTGGAATGCGTCCAACATGCAACATTTTAAGATGTGTGAACGCGTTCAAATACCAAAACGCGTTTAAACTCGTCCCTGTTGAAAATGCATTAATATACGTTTTCTGGCTTTTCTACTTATGATACTGTTATGAGATAAACGCGTTTACTTTATTTTCAAAAAAAATCAGAAAATAATCATCACTTTTTGTCGGAACCAAACCGGAGTTTAGCATTCAGACTGCATCACTATCATTAAAAAACAATTAAATTGGGTTTGATTTAACAGATTAATCATATAAAATTAGTACACCTATGATAATATATTGTTATCTGCAGATCTTTTATTGAAAATAGTTAACTTTTATCGAAATTATATGTCTCGCTCTACATCACTTCTAAAATATTTAAGAATGGGCAGACGATGGATTATAATCTTAAAGTTGTTGCCCACTTCATCATTTATTTTCTAGACAAACAAATAAATCTTTTGAATATGACACTTTTATTTCCAACTATTTCATTTTATTGGAATTTCACAAGTGCTCTTTCAAATAGAGTTGTTGGCTTATCTTTATTGTGCTCTATAATAAAATAACTTGAAATGAAACTTTTACAAGTATGCAATAAAGATAAATACATTACAGAATTTTATTACTTATAAACATACAGATAAACAATTTTTTAAAATTTGTACTTTTAAGAAAAGGATAAATGAATATTTTATTCATAAGAATAACGAAAGTTAAATGAAAATGATGGTTTATTTTTAAATAACAACCTACTATTTTAATTTCCCCCAGATATCTAAAAAAATTTTGATATCACAACCACAAAAAATTACGTAGACAAGAATATTTGCATATATTTTTTGTCTTCTACTGTCTTCACTTTTTATCAACATTGGATATTGCGATGCTAGTACTAAGAAAAAACTGTAAATTAATGCTTTTATATCGCATATTTATATATTTATCCATCACAGAGCGAGACTTTTTTATTCTATAATTTTTATTTTTTTAATATAAAAAATTTATTTCTTCATTTAAATTTTTTTCTAAATATCAAGAATGTATTTATCTTGATTTTTTTCGATAAATATATTATTTATATATATTTCATGAAGTAAAAATATAACATCTCTAGTCACAAAGTTGCACTAAGTAGTGTTATATGAACTAATGATGCAATTAATGAACATAGAAACAAATTCGAGCAATGTTTCGCTCAGAGCTAATTGTGCTCGGTTCGTAATCGACTGGTTGTCTGTTCAAATTTTCGTTCAAACTGTGGTTGGAAAAATTACCACTCTGATCCCCATAGGATTTGAGTATTATATCATAGCCCGCTATGATACGTCGATTCGATTCAGATACAGAGTGATGGTTATTTTGCAATTTTTTTAGGAACGAAAAAGAAACGAGTCACGACATGTTCATCTCATACTGCATCCAAACACAGCAAAATCCGAAAACGCGTCGTAATCCGTCTGCAAGATAGATGAGTTTACACACGTTTTGGTTTTTGAATGCGTTCACATGCTTGAAATTGTTGTATTTTGGACGCGTTCAAACACGTCTTTTCATATAAACGTGTTGTGATATTGTTAGCATTGAAACGAGAGAAGACGTGTTTGCCCACTGTAAACACATTCAGAGATCCGAAAATGTTGCATTCTTGATAAGTTCCAACGCGGCAAGTTGTATAAGTCATAGACGCTCAGGGACGCGTTCAAGATCGAAAAGTGGTTACCTGGGATGAAGTCATGTTCCATTTGACACTGCGCAAAATGGAGTAATAGTATTTTTGATCGATTTAGTCGACTCGATAAGTACTAACAATAATCCATAGTGTTCTATTGTACAAGCCTTTCAAATATCGCTCGGATGAACCATGAAGCACAAAATGATAACAGAAAGGGTTGAGGACATTTCTTGAAACAGGAGAAATAAACAAAACTAAAAAAAACTGCGAATAAGTACAATAAAATCTGGCATGGATCAGGACGAATATCAGAGCGGCAATCTTTTGTTTTGACGTTTGTTATCAAAATCGATCGGACATTCAGTGAACATCATTCTATTATGAGTAGGACAAAACTCATTGGCGAGCATAGGCTCTCGGTATCATAACGGGTGTCTAAAGGTGTAGGTGTCGGTATGGGTGTGGGGTGTGGGACGGCGTGGGGTGAAGGGTATGGGTGTGGGGAGCACGATGATTGTGTGTAAGACAATTGTGTGCAGACAATTGTGTGTATGGACAATTGGGTGTAAGGCAATTGTGTGCAAAATGAATGTGTACGTATTATGTGTGAATAAATATTTTTGTCAAAAAAAGACAAAGAACAAAAGAAAAGTAATCAAAATAACAAAACTAATTCAGGATGAACAAATAAGTGAACAAGTATAATATGAATGCATGAGCAAACGCTTTTAGCTTTTTGTATATTATCCTATGTAAGACTTTT